CCAATACTGTTCAGCCACTAATGTCATAAAATTGTAAGTTGAGCAAGTCAGGCCCAGTGCACAAACATTGTAATGCTACAGCACCCCAACTGAGTGTTACTCTAAGCAGTATTGTGTTTTTATAAGGGGGTCTTGTTAAGAGTTAGTTAGAACTGTGCAAATGCCCCCATTACCCTTTTTGTGGTACCGAAGTGGCTGTTTTAAGGGATATCGCCTTCATATCTTCGCTTATTCCCCCCAGCATCGCTGGAGACAGAGGTGGCTTCATTAAGCCTGGTGGTAAGTTTAATGAGAATCACAAGACCATACACTAGAATTCTCTACCTTTTATGGGTGTTTTTCAGAAGGGAAATAATTAATGCCTTGCAAAACTACACTGCCGGCTAGAATTAAGAGTTTTCAACTTTTTCCATTGGTTGTATAGGAATGGTTCAGATCTATTTTTATTGGTTAAAAATCCTGAGTGTGGACTCCAATGAAAGGTTACATTTGCCCTTATAATCAGGAGTTAATGGTAACTGGCTTACCCAACCATGTAGAGTATCACCATTTCATTGTTTACTATTTTATTCAGTTTTATATGATATCCGGTATGGAGTCCAATTTGGGTCCTTGGTTTTTCAAGGGTTTTGCAAATATATTTTTTATATTTAAGGCACACTGGAATAAAAACTAGGTAGCTTTTGAATAGTTTCCTCTTAATACTTTTTCACAATAATCAAACCAATCTTGGGTCAAAAGCATCATGGTATTTTGTCATTTTATGTATTTGATTGGTCAGAAAGAGTGTGCCGGGGCAGTCTTGACCAGGAAATGGTAGCATAATATTGTCAGGTGCTTGAGAAGCTCGGCTGGTAAACTAATTTGTTTCTCACTTTCTTTTTCTCCTTGTGTCCTGCTTGATGATAACCTGAAACAGATGGTGACATGGGTAAGTTTGGATCTTCAAATTGTCTTTTTTGTCTATTATGTTTATCAATTTCTTCTGCTTTTAACACTGTTCTCTGCAGTACGCCCAGAGGAGCAGGATGACTCTGAAAACAGCACTATCTACATCACTGGGCTCACTGAGAACGCTACGTTGGAAGAAGTTGCTGAATTTTTCAAGCACAGTGGAATCGTTAGGGTACTTGATAGTCTTTTTCGATGAGATGAAGTGGCTTTGGGAAGATGGATGGCTTGTTGCTTTTCTATGTTACTAATACATGGCAGCATCTAATACTGAAACGTGTAAAGGGTTGGGTTACACCATGCGTCAAATGGTCCTTTATTGGATTTCTTAAAGCTTATGATTTAATATGGTTTCATTTTGCTTTCTAAGATAAACAAACGCACGGGCCTGCCTGCTGTCAACATCTATACAGATAAAGAGACTGGGAAACCTAAAGGTGATGCCACCTTATCCTACGAAGAGCCTCCATCTGCAAAGGCAGCAGTCGAGTGGTTTGATGGTGTGTTGAACTTAACTGAAATCAGTCTTGAATGTCAGTCCTTTCATCATGAGTCTTCAAGATAAAATAATGTTTTCCCATTAGGAAAAGATTTCCAGGGCAAGAAGCTGAAGGTATCCATGGCCCGACGCAAGCCTATGATGGGAATGATGCGTGGTGGCATGCCAATGAGGGGAGACCGAGGTGGCATGATGGGACGAGGAGGTACGCTGATTTAGAAGCACCAGAAAACCTAAGTTTCTGTTTTTCTGTACTAAAAAGTTCTAACCATCGAGTTGGATTGGCTGTATTCCTGCAGGAATGATGGGTCGTGGTGGGATGGGCAGAGGTGGTGATCGAGGAGGATTCATGCCACGTGGGGGTCCCAGGGGAATGGGCCGCGGAGGACCTACAGGAGGAAACATGCAACAGAGGGCAGGAGACTGGCAGTGTCCAAATGCGTATGTATTTCAGTAGTAGCGCAGTGTTACTCAATGATCCATGTATTGCATTCGGCCTCTGATTTGAGTCTTTGTTTTTCTAGGGGATGTGGAAACCAAAACTTCGCCTGGAGAATGGAGTGTAACCAGTGCAAGGCACCCAAACCTGAAGGCTTTGGACCTCCTCCCTTCCCTCCTCCAGGTTACGGTCTTTTGCATTCACATCTCGCATAGCTTTCAGAACCGCAAACAGCAGTGCTTCAGATAGCAGCATTGCTAATATTCACTGTCTTTTGGGGTTCAGGTGGTGACCGTGGTCGTGGTGGACCTGGTGGGATGCGTGGCGGCCGTGGTATGGACCGTGGAGGGCCAGGGGGACCCGGTGGCTTCCGTGGAGGCAGAGGTGTGGATCGTGGAGGTTTCAGAGGAGGACGTGGCATGGACAGAGGCGGTTTTGGAGGAAGGGGTCGAGGTGGGCCTCCTATGGATGACATGGGAAGAAGGGGGCGAGGAATGGGACCACCTGGCAAAATGGATATGAAGTGAGTGTTTCTGTGGAAGTGTAAAGGTAATGTAGCCACAAAAAGGAACAGTAATTCATTATTTACTTTTTTGCAGGGGTGACCATCGTCAGGAACGGAGAGAAAGACCATATTGAGGGATGTGTCCCTGGTCAACATCTGGCCTCACCCGTTTGTTTTTCACATGATTTTAAAGTTGAAATTCCATATTTATAAATGGTTAGTATGGAACTCGTTACTGCTTTGCTGTTAGTCCTCAGTGAATGTTTTATTTTTTTAAACTTTTTGTGTTTTGTGCTCGCTTTTCTGGTCCAGAACTGTATTTGAAACCAGATGCACATGTAAATGCCCGGTGTTTAGTGTACCAATTGGATTTGTCAAAAATGTTTTTGTGGAACAATGTGAGATTATTTCTTTTTTTAAATTCCCAATACCCCTTTATTTGCTTTACTCTGCTTTCATGTCTAAAAAATGTTGATTAAAAAAAATGAAAACCATTGTGTTTTTTTTTTTTTTTTAAATGCATGGCTGTAAATACTTATGCCCTGTACTTGTTTTCTGCATTTACTGTCATTACTTCACCTAAACAGTATGGCATCTTCAGTGTGACTGAATAATGTAAATAGCTGATGCTATTCAGCCCCTTATGTCATTTCAAACAGTATTTAAAAGAGTTCACCTCCAAAAATAAAATTCTGGAAAACAATCTTTACTTGCCTTCATGTTCTATTTTTTTTTTTCTGGTGTTGATCAAAAGGAGACTTTTTGGAGCATCTTGTGATTGTTGAGCTTTTTAAAGTACAAAGAAATTGTTCATACCTCTTTGGGCCAGATTTACTATCAGTTTGAGCCAGCGCAAACCCTAATTTGGCTACTGTCAGGATTTAGAAAATTAGCGCTGAAAAGGTCTGGCCCATTATTTTTGCGCCTCACTTTATTGAATATGCATTTGTAGGAGTTCCCCTTGGTAAATTTATGAGAGGAGAGTATTTAAATGAGTCACGCAAAGCGATTTACTAAGATTTGCGCTGGTCGATTAACTGGTGTTTGCCGCATTATTTAACTCCCACAAAAGCATGTCTTGCGCTGGTCATTATGGAAATTAGATGTTGCGTCTGTAATCTTTAAAGATTAAGCTTCTTTAGCGCCTTTTTAATCAAAAGACCTGTTCACACCTAGACAAAGTTTGGTGCGATACACGTTTTAATGGACTTAATGCTGTTAGTTAGCATGCCCTCAACAAGGCATGCTAACTAACAGCATTAACAGTTGTTTGTTTGTTTTTTACAGACAGGTGATAAAATCTCTTCCATCGCACTGTGATGAAAACTGGCCAACCGATAAGATTCGCGCTGTTATTTAGCAGACAATTTGCTAAGCACAGCAAGTCCTTGGAAACAAGAGCAGAGCAAGAATCCGGACCTGGATCTCTTGTACTCCTGTATTTGATTTTATTTGGTAAACACAAAAATCTGAACAACCGATGCTGTTTGACAACCTTTTTTTATCTGTTACAAGTCAGAAACATAAGGTAACAGCGCTTTGTAACAAGTGTGTTTCTGCTTTTCCATAAGTGCCATCTGCTGTCAGAGAGTGAATTCGTTGTGACTCCATCTGTTGTGTTCGTCGAATCGACTCGTGACTACCGGAGTTCCTAACGTTACCCGGAAATATTCAAAGAAAGAACGTAGGCCTACACAGATACTTTTTTAGGATTTGCTTGTATTTCATTTCGCGTTTTTTTTACTTGAATTCTCGCAACTTGTGTGGTTTTTCTGGGCGAGTCGGAGTGAGCTGCTGCGCTGTCTCGCTGTCCACACAAACCAACGGTAAAGGCCAGAATTTTCATTAAATAATACAATACATTTTGGTTTATTTTTCATCAAATCCTATAATATACCACCAGAATACATGGAGCATTAAGACACGTGTCGAATGGGACCATTTTGTGATACTTTTGCATCTTTAAAAAAAAAGCTAAGCCAGGAGGAGCGTGATTTCTACTTTTGTCATCTGAAAAGAAAAGAAGGACATACAGCATTAGAACAACACCAGGGTGAGTAAATGGTGACTTAATTGCGAGCTTAGTAGAAAGCGAAGACTTTTTGAATAACAATTGAATTTTCTTCGCTGTTATCCGTACATCACGGAGATGTCTGTTTTACGTCTGCATTTACATCTGCAATTGACCTATTTTTTTAGAGTGTTTGTTCAACTGAAATATGTCTCAAATAGACGTTTAGAAAATGTCTGTCTGTTTATGATTTAGAATGTATGTAAAACTAACATCTGACAGACGTCTATCAGATGTTTGTACACATGCAGCTTAGATGAAGCGATCTTTAACAGACATCTTGCAGACGTGTATGAGCTAATTTTATGATGTTTTTGTTCTGTTTTAGTTAATTATATAGAAAAGAGCTGAGTGAAGATCCTTGAAAATGATCCTTTTGTATTCCACAGAAATAACCGGTTTGTAACGTAACCACACGAGTGCGAGTAAATAATAAGCACAATACTGTCACTATTTACTGCGGCTCCATCTTGTGGATAGCACAGCGGACTGCGTTCAAGGCATCAGTTCAGTAATGCAATATATATAAACCGGAGAGGAAAAACAGCGCATGACTTTGCAGCACCAAATGCCATAATGCAAGGATCAAGAATCTAATCGATATCAGATGCAGCCCTGCCGCATTCATGCAAAGCTTATCTCGGGATGCATAGGCTTGAGCTTTTAAAAGCCTGTGCATCCTCGCATCCGTTCTCCTCTCTAATGTCTTTGCGTCATATGGCAGATTCTGAGCAATCTGTGCGTCATCCGCTGTGTTTCCCCCCCAGCAGCATCAGTTTTCCATCACATCTCTGGGAAGCGCCGCCTCTCCTCGCTGTGCCCTCAAATTTGACTTCTCGCTCGATCATGCCCTCAACGCGTTGCATGCATGCATGCGGCGGGACGCGCGTGGTGAGGCAGGTGTCTGGCGCGTGATGCGCAGCGGTGAGACAGACAGCAGCACTCAACATGACCGAGCTGGTGATGCGGACCCTTCCGTCTCCTTCAGCTGCGCAGGATCCCGGCCCGGACGCTTATAAAGGATGGCTCTTTAAATGGACCAACTACCTGAAGGGTTACCAGCGCCGGTGGTTTGTCCTGAGCAACGGCCTCCTGTCTTACTACAGGTAACGCTGCGTGCGCTTGCTTCGATGCGCTCGAGACTTTGCTGTGTCACCCGCGGTACATTATTTGACCTTAGTTGGGATAGGGGTTGCTCAGAAGTTTTCATTAAAAACGTGTTGGCACCTGTGGGCACCACTGACATATTTAAGCACAAGTCTTAGTTGTCCATGCTGCAACAATGCCTCTCCTGTCCTGTTTATAATTAGTAATGGGGACATCTGGAGCATCTAGCCTAGATCAAGTTTCCACCCTTCTTCAAGGGCCTTACTGAAAAACTATATTTAATGTACACAGTGTTTTTATACTTAGCCTATACATACAGTGGGGTCAAAAGAAAATCAACTAACAAACTGAATGAAAAAAAAAACATGAGTGTCGTCTTAGCTGCATGAATCCTCAAGTTCGTGTAAAACCTAATTATCATGTTTTCCAGGATGATTTGAGAAGGTTTCAAAGAACATATTGTGCTTCAGTGAAATCTGTCAGTCTGTAAAGTAGTGAAATGCACGGTGTCATACATTTGCTTTAGTGTTCCTTTGGGACACGCTGAAATAAAAATACCTGATTTTAATGCGTGTTTTGCATATTCTATTTTGAATAGCATTAATGTTATTACTCTCACATGATGATTGCTTTTGTACCCTTCTGAGGCCTTGTCATCTTGCAGCTGTAATGTTAGCTTGCTATACTGCAGTGTATGTGGATTTAGTGTGGATTTGATAGTAATGATGCTCTGATTCAGCACTCTTGGACTCAGAAATCCTGCAGTCATTTTATTGCAGCCTGCATGATGTATTTGACTGGCATTTTTCAGTGGTCCACAGCAATGCTGATATCTAGTGAGGAGGGTACCAATAAAATGTTAATATATATATAAAATAACTGAGATATGAGTAAATAAAGTCAAATCAAATATATTTTTCCCCACACAATAATAATATATTCACTTAGAACAGTAAAATTATGTAAAAGTACTTTCTACAATAATTACAATAGTACATTCAATTAAAATAATTAAATAATAAAAATAAATAATAGTTTTTACCCAATAATTTCTTACTATACTTAAGTCACTCATATTAATAAAACAATAAATTATTTTCTTAGTAATTATTCACAATAACAAATTCACTCATAATAATACAATAATAACAAGAAATTATTTGACCCAATAATTACTCACAATAATGAAGTCTCGCATAGTAAAATAAAATATTTCACACAATAATTACTCATGAATATAAATCCACTCGTTATAATAAAATAAAAAATATTATTTACAGCATCATTTATCACAATAAAAGGCCTAAATTCAAAAGTCATTTTTATAGCATAACACTCATAATAATAAAATAATTATAATAAATATTTACTCAATTATTTACAATAATACATTCACTCAATAATAAAATACTTTTTTACACAATAATTACTCACAATAATAAATTCACTCATAATGATAAAATAATAAAAGTAAATTATATTTACAGCATAATTACTCACAATAATATATTCACTCCTAATAAAATAAACATTATTTACAGCATGATTTATCACAATAAAATGCCTAAATTCACTCATAATAAAATAATAATAATAAATATTTACTCAATTATATACAATATTAAATTAATTCAATAATAAAATATTTTTTCACAATTATTACTCACAATAATAAATTCATAATGATAAAATTAAAATCGTTAATGCAATATTTACTCTCAATTATGAATTCACTCACAAGTATTGGCACAGAAACTGTATTATCTATTGTCAAGGCTGCTGGTAGATTTTGGGCATGTCACAGTTATGTTGAGCATCTTCGAATGGCCAGTTAATCATTCTGGCTGATATATCAGTCTATCGCTATTATAAGAGTGTGTTTGTGATTCTGTGGATCTGTGACTTTCAGCTAGCTGCTTCTTAAACTCACATCAACGTGTGTTTGTGTATATGTAAATTTGTCTTTAGGACTCAAGCAGAAATGGCACACACCTGCCGAGGCACGATTACCTTGGCGACGGTGCACATAGAGGTGGGTGACACCTGTCACTTTGTGCTGACGAGTGGAGGGCGGAGCTACCACCTGAAGGCGTATTCAGAGGGCGAGTGTCAGCGCTGGGTTTCTGCTCTGCAGCAGGCCAAAGCAAACGCCACTCAAATGATGCCACATTCAGGTGAGTGATGGGTCGCAGTCAGGCGCCGATTAACGCACAGGCTTGCCTAGGCTGCAGCCTAGGGGCCCCATGTGTGCAGGGGCCTCGGATTGACCAGACTATTTTTTTTATTATTTTAAATTTACTTCAGCGGGAACAAAAAAGACCCTCATTGGCCTATAAGAAACATTAAAGAAGGATTCGTTGCAGAGCGTTTGACAAAATGAATGTATTTCATTGTAGAATGCACGCTCCGCACCGCCGAGAGGGGGGGGGGCCTCACACAAAGAGCAGCCTAGGGGCCCCTGACGACATTAATCCGCCCCTGGTCGCAGTGCCAATCAAAAGCATCCCAGAATGCAGTTGGTGTGCAGGGCTGTAATTTTGGGAGGGTGGGGTGACTATTTTTGCTCACTAGATAATTCCCATACTTTGCCGTTTTGAAAACTTTAGTATTATTTTCAAATGTGTAAAATGGCCATAAACAATGAGAAGTGATGTCAGCGTGTTTGTCATTGCTTAAGTAACTTGCCTTGTTATTCAGGCTTTAATAATACATTTATCTCAACCATATACATCAGTTTTAAACAGGTCTGCATTTTTACTTTCTCTTCATATCTTTGATTTTATGTAGAGACATGAATTTCCCTTTCCATTTTAAACCACTTAAATCACAGTGCATGTTACATGTAATTGTTTATTTATCGCAGATTTACCAACCAGTTTAATCTGAACTCGCATTTAAAGTCTGAGAACATAATGCACCATAAATTGATTTCCTACATAAAACATTTGTTCCTATGTCTTCAATATCCCTTATTTAAAAAAACGTATAGTGTATATAAGCAATATATAGTAAACAACTGGAATTTACCTCTTTATTGCTAAGGCAAAACATCTTTTTTTGAGTGTTTTCTATACTCATTATAAAATTGGCAATTTTTTTTACACAAATGCCACTAGGGGGTAGTATTGTTCATGATTTTTTTTTTAAGATTGTTTTTATATATATTTGAAATATTTTTAAATGCACAGTATTATGCAAAGTCATTATTATTTCCTCATTAATGTAATGTATTAAATGTGTTTATTATTTCTGTGTTATATTTAATAGACAGATTTCATTGTTTATCTACTGATATTTAAAAAATGAATGAATGCAATGCATGTCTTACTTTTTATTTCAGTTCTCAGGATTTTTTTCTTAACAAAACTTAGTCCTGGTAGTTTGAGAAAACACTCAAATATATTTGAATTGTACAAATAATTTGACTGTGTTTCCGGCTCCTCCTACATGATGGCATTTACATGAGCCTCTTTTCTTGTACAGTTTGCTCCCAAATGTGATTAATCTGCATACTGCACACCTTCCCATTGGGATGATATATGATGTGCTGCTGAATGGAGTGACGAGCGTATAAGCTCCGCCCTCCGTGCAGTTTGGAGAATGTGAGGGGAAAGAGGGAGGGTGAGAAGGAAAACAGGAGCGAGAGGGAAGCTGGGAAGGTGACTGAGGAGACCGAGAGGGAACGCTACATTTTAACATCATCTTCACTAAATAAGCTTTGCTTGCTTTGTATTTATCAGTGATTCGAGAAAAGGTAGGAACAATTATAAATACATATGTTTGATTGACATTTATGCAAAGGCATTTGTCTTTTGTCTCGGTGGACAATAAATTCAGAGTTCATAGATGCTTATAGCCTGTGTTTTAGTTTACTACTATGTGAATTTAGTGGAATATTACATACTAATTTAGCTTTCATTTCAGCTTTGATTTCAAAGTTCTGAATGCAGTGGCTTTATATGATCAGTTACAGGAATGAGTGTATTTTTATAGATTCTCTGAAGCACATTGTGGCTACTCTATAACTGTTTATGTTTGCATGTGGTCACTCTTTTATGGGCTAAATACATTTAGTGCTTACAGCTTAGTCTCAGGGTTTGAATTGGAAACCTATTGAGCTAATGTCCGACTGTGCAAAAGCACAATATGCTACATTTAGAACTACATTAGAAGATTTTCTGAAGTAATGTGAGCAATGTTCGGTTGTCAGGGTGTTTCTAGGTTGTTGCTAGCAAATTCTTGGTGTCAAACGAGTCCACGTTGAAGTTTCTTTGAGTGTGGCCTGAAAGTTGTGTTGTAAGTGTGAGAAACTGTGCAAATCGGATTATCTGTGAGACACAGTATGCAGGCTGATGGGACAAATTGGATTGTCAGACAGCCAGTGAACTTAACTGTCGCTTGTTTTCGAAGATCCTTCCAGTCTTTTACGCTGGATGTCGCCTGCTCTGCGATCTGCTGTTAGTTTAGGTGTGGTTATTCCGAGATGAGTCACTCGTGTATCTCCAGCAGGTCAGAGGAAGGGGATCTTTATTTGATTCTCCAGCGCTGGTGCTTTTCCTCTTACGCCTGCCGAGGTTGAGCGAGCCTCTCTTGCTCTCTCTTTTTTAATCCCACCTTTAGGACTCCCTCTGGCTGCAGATGTGACTCTGTGATGTAAGACGAGGCAGTCGAGCACCTTTGGCAGGAGACGCAGGCACACAATGGCTGTATGTGGGTCATCAGACTGGAGGAGTTCTCTCTCTCCTCTTTGATTCTATTCTCTAGAGATCCACGCTAATCCACTTTACCCCGATTGTTTTCTTGGCAAGCAGAAAATTGCAGTCTTTTGCTTGGATTGGGTTAAAGGCGCTTTGGCTTAGATGCAGTTTGGGTAAAAAGATTGAAGCTGGCATTTCAGTGATCATGTAACCTTTGCAGATGATGGGTTCGGTTGATCACCGCTGTAAAAAAAAATAAAATCTTACTTGCAAAAAGTTCTTCTAACAAATGTAAAAAAGTAGCTTGAACAAAGTTTTTTTATTTTTTTATAATAGGAGTCAGTTTATAATTTTGTGTGAACTGAACAAGAATACTCAAAAATACTCAAAATCTTTCTAACAAAAGTTGACATTACTTGAATAAACGTGTTTGTTCAAAATAACTATACAGTATGTTGCAAAGACATGCATTATTTTATTATAATGAATGAACTAATTTTCCTTAACCAGCAAAAGTTTAACTAGGTATTGTTTTTTCATGGCCGATAAGATGCAGATTTCTTTTTATGCTTATATTTCCAATCACCAATATCCAGAAAAGAGGTTTAATTATTGATTTGTTTTTGTTTTCTGATTTTGACACAATAAATAATAAGACTATTTAAAATGATATAAATAGTACTAATGCTACATAATAAATGAATAATATTACAATGAAAAACATAAGATGAAAACATTTGCATTAGTTATATTATTTTGGTTTTCTGCTTTTCGCCACCAAAAACAATTTTAATACTACAATGACAAACATTTTTTATTATGCAATAATAATAATTATGAAAAGTTGCTATGTAAATGGTTGCAAATTAATTTTGGTGTGTTTTATGTCTTTGTCTAACTGTTAAGCATATATTAATACATTATTATTAATGCATTATCAATTATTTAGTATTATTAAATATGCAAGCAATGCTTAAGTATTTTTAACCATTTCATATGTTTATCTAGGCTGCATTTATTTGATCATGAATGCTGTAAAAACAGTAATATTTCTGAAATTATTTCTGAAAAATATTTCTGAAAAAATTATTTCAATTTAAAATAACTATTTTCTATCTGAATATTTTTTTAAATGTAATTTAGTTCTGTAATGTTAAGCTGAATTTTCAGCATCATTACTCCAGTCTTCAGTGTCACATGATCCTTCAGAAATCATTCTGATATGTTGATTTGATGCTTATGAAACATTTATTATCATTATCAATGTGCTGCTTTATATATTTGTTGGAACTGTGATGCATCTTTTCCAGATATAACATATTTCATGTATAACATAGACAGGGTCACCTGATGATCTGATCAGGGTGCAGCAGGTCATTTAAAGGTCACGCCTCTACCCTTTCATCTCCAGTCTCTGATACACAGATTGAGTGAGTTTCAGCTAACAGTGAGCCAGCCTCATGTAGCCGCAGGCTCACACAAGCAACTGCTTCCAAAAATGTCTTTCATCACACAAGATGCAATTTACAGCCTGTTCTCGTCTATTTTCCAGTGAGTGATGGCCATGTTGTATGAGAGAGCAGGCAAAGCGAGATGTATGATCCCGTTTTTTCTTTCTTTCTCATTTTCCTTATAGCTTCTAAAAATAGCTGTCCTCCCAATTGCGTGGGACCTTGTTTCCATGGTAACCGTGTTCATTCACAGAAATCTGGTGTTTTGAATGGGTTGCTGGTTATTATGACGCCTCTCTTCACACTGGCTCACCTACTGCCCACATTCAATTGTGATGTCCTTCAGCTCTATAATGAAATCTAAATCTGGATCTTTCTCCCTCTGATTGCTTGCTTTCTGTTTAAACATGTTATCTCTCTCTGTCTCTCTCACACTTTCTCCATCTCCTCCCATTATGGCTTCTGTCCATCACTGTGGTCATTTTTCAGCATCCATTTAAAGGTCCCCTGAAATGCTTAGAAACACGCAGCGTTACTCTATGTGTTGACTTCATTTTAACTGAAACAGGAAGACATGGCGGGACATATTAAGCAGCCCCGCCCCTTTTTAAAATAGCCACTAGCGTTCGTCTATATCACAGCTTTGGCTAGAGCCGTTCAGACAGAGCCGTTGAGCTCCGTAAAGCCGCATTTGACAGGGTATGCCAGCCACAATCTCATCCATATTGCTATAAAATATAGCATTCTGTGTATAATTCAAATAGCTCCGATACATTTTGTGGTCTGCGCCGACTCGCGCATGTGATCCGCTCCGTGCTATCGTGTCTCTGGACCGGAGCAGTGTGCGGTGCGGTGGTGGTTAGCGTGACACAGTGCGAAACCAGACTTCTTTTTTTCCTCAATGGAAAGCATATTTGCACTGTTTGAATCGTTCCCTCTCCCCTATATAGTACACTACGTGCCATTCACTGTACAGAAACTACTAATTCTGTGGACAAGTGACCGATTTCAGCCGCGGCTTCAGCGTCTATTTTATAGTGTAGGGGCGGCCGCTTCGGATTCTAGAGAGCATTTGATTGGACAGAAAGTTTGATGAGAAGCTGAAGTACGATGTGACGTCAAAAAAATCGTTGAGCCATTTTGGCGGAAGTGACGAACTGCAAGCTTTGAACGCTTATATCTTCTAAATGTGAATTTTGTCACTGTTTTGGAGCACACTGCCTTATAGATAACCTTAAGACTTAACATATTGATACTAAAACCCAAAAAACTGAAAATATGCTTGTAATTGAAAAGACCTCCACAAAAGGACAGTTTTAGTTCTCAGCTGTCACGTCAGAGCCCTCCAGCACTGCGTCTGTGTGCGTCTGTGCTATTTATAAAGTTATTTTAGTTCAGCCTGCAGCGCTGCAGTGACCATCTCTGTTGGCTGCAGAACATCATAACACACAATAACTTCCCTTATTTAAAGGGATATGCCATACTTTCTGTTCATCACTGGAATCATTTTGAATCGTCCTTCAGTTTGCAAAGAACAAACAAAAACTGCACATACAGGAATTTGCTTACAAATCTGTGGAAGGGGTCCTATAACTGGGTTTTACAATCCCTGTTATAGGACCCCCTTTCTAAAATATAAAGGCAGTTATATATTTTAAGGCTCAGTTTTACAATGTGAATAAAATATTTGGACAAAGACAAAATAAACATCATCATTACTATTAGTCATTATTAAAAAATAATAGTAATTATTAATAATAATTATTATTTTGACAAATTATAAATTACAGTAGAATATAAAATTTTATAGCACTTTTCATGGTAAATATTGGTCCAAAGCAACACATTTTCTTCTCCAAATTTTTCCACAGACCCCTTACAACTGTGGTTCTCAATCAGGGGGCCACTAGGGGACCAAACCTCCCAAGGGGGCACAGGATGACTTTATTGTTAATATAATATTAATATTTTAAAACAAATACACTACATTCAAGATGACCTGAAATCATATTTCTTTTCCCACTTCAATAACTATTGAATCACAAAATAAATTGAGGTTAATTTATGTCCCTATATAGACCACTTTCTGTTAATAATAATTTATAGTTATATTTCTGTTGACATTATTTAGAGGGCCTTTGAATATTGGTGTTGGACATTGGGGGGCCATCGAGTCAAAAACATAGATAATCACTTCCCTAAAATAGCGTATAAAAAGAAAAAAGTAATAAATGTACTTTTTGGGATGTCCAGACCAATGAACTGTCATTGCCACATAGACCGGCTGTTAATGATCTGTCCGTCATGGACTACGTGACTTCGCCACTTCCTGTGGATTTTTTCTGCTGCAATTAAGCGACTAATAAAATGTTGATCGACTAAGCGTCTTCTAATCGACGGTTATTCGACTGTTAGGGGGCAGCCCTACATATTTGTATTGACGCAAATGAAAATGAGGCTGTGCTGGATATATGTTCAATTGTTTGTACTTTCCCCCCCAGGTTTTCTATTGGATCTTCTGTGGAAAGACGTATTGTCAATGTTTTTTTTTTTTTGAGTTTACCTAGATACAACATGTACAATCCATTGAAAAGACAGCTCTTTTTAGTTTTCACTCATCTCAAATTAAAAACAGAGCTGTGCTTCACTAATATCTCTCCATGTAACTATTGTGCAGATGACTCTGGTGACGAGGGTCCACTAGGCCAGCCGGATCGTGCTCTGATCCAGGGGGCGCTCAAGACTCTGGCCAGCAAGCTCGAAGACCTCAGCACCTGTAACGAGCTCATCGGGAAACACGGCGCCGCCCTCCAGCGCTCCCTCAGTGAACTGGAGGACCTGCGCGCCCCCAGCGACGGCGTCGATAAACTGAAGACCGTCAACGAGCGAGCCACTCTCTTCCGCATCACTTCCAATGCTATGATCAATGTGAGTTTCAATGGCTTAGTTTTAGTTGACTCTGCATATTAGACACCAGACATTTTAGCATAAAAATACACGTTTTATTATTAAAAATGGCTGAATTTGTAACCGAAAATGAGTGATAAATCTGAATGATTGGGCTGGTTTTTTGATCAGGCCTGCCAGGACTTTGTGGATTTAGCGGAGGCACACAGCCGGCGGTGGCAGCGCGCACTGCAGTATGAGCGGGAACAGCGCCACCACCTGGAGGAGACTATCGAGCAGCTAGCCAAACAACACAACAGTCTGGAGAGAGCCTGGAGAGAATCACCCAGCACACACAATAGTGAGGCTTTTTGACTGTTTTTTTTTTTTTTCTCTGTGGAGCACAATAAGCGATGTTTTGCAGATTGTCCAAGCTGCTGTTTTCTCTACACTGAGTGTGAAGAACAAACTGCCTTAAAAAGGTCAGAAAGTGCCATAAAACACCTTAAAAGTTGTTCTTTTGATTCATGTGAACTATATTCATATGAAGTTATATTTTATAGTTTTAATGCACACCACCATTTAAAAGTTTGGTGTCAAACTTCAACTTCAGTATCCTGAAAAAAAGGTATCACCGTTTCCACGAAAGTATAAGCTGTTTTCAACATTGATAATAATATACATGTTTCTTGAGCAGTAGATCAGCATATTAGAATGATTTCTGAAGGATCATGTGACACTGAAGACTGGAGTAATGATGCTGACATTCAGGTTTTCATCACAGGAATAAATTACATTTTAAAATATATTCAATAAGAAAACAGCTATTTCATATTGCAATGATATTCCACAATATTAATGTTTTCAATGTGTTTTGATCAAATAAGTATAGCCTTGTTGAGCATAAAGGACTTCTTAAATAAACATTAAAAATGTTTATGTTCCTCCATTATTAAAGGGGTCATATGCTTTTTTAAAGATCATTATTTTATGTATTTGGTGTAACAGAATATGTTGACATGCTTTAATGTTCAAAAAAGGGATCTTATCTTATCACAATCAGCTTGTAACACTCCAAAGAGAAAGGAAAACTTGAAATCGCATCATATGACCCCTTTAAATGTATTAATAATAAATGAATAATATCAATAAGTAAATATTTTAATATCACGAAAAAAATGAATTCAATTTTATTTTTAATGGCTTTGCCATGCAAAGCAGCATAACTATTTACATTTATAAATGTGATGCTAAATGCATGTTATTATGCCAGGCTTAAAATGCAACACTCAGTTTTATGCAAATGTTATACAAATTTTATATAATGCTGACCCGTCATTAAATGAGATTTTCCATGTGTTGATCTTCAGAAGAGGCAGAGGGAACACCGGAGGGAGAATCCAGTGAAGAGAATGAAGACATAGAGTTCTTTGATGCCATGGAAGATTCTCCCGCCTTCATCACAGTGCCTGCAGACGATCACTCACAACACAGGTCCATATATATGGATCATATCATGAGAGATCATATGATAGCCAGTGGCTTTCAGTCACAGGCCCAGACATCACAGTCCATTTACTGATCATCTGATGCATAGAATGACAAGAGCTTGATAAAATAACAAGCTCAAATTTGAGTGACTAGCTGGGAGTCAGAGCGCCCAGTTTTCTTTTCACAATTGACACTATTTTTTTAGCTATTTCTCTTAAAATAATTCTTGTTCTGAGAATGCTGCACTATTATTTGAATATTTTTTAGGTGTCATCGATTTCAGATGCACCTTCTCTTGAAGTGGTGCTTAAAATCAAAATGAATTGTGGTTTTCATGTCAGTTAGATGGTCTCTTCTTGGCCAAAATAAGTGGATGCTAAGTGGAATCATGTTATTGTGAATATTGCACACAACAAATTGTTTTTCAACATCTGTACATTGTTTATCTACCCTGTGCTTGAATAATGAATGATCTTCCCCTAGTGTGGCTTGTGAGTACAATACATATTTACAGTAAGACACAATTTGATATTTCAGCCCTCACTTGTGTTTCTGTGTGTGTGTGTCTTAAACATTTGAGCAGTAATCAGAACGTGACCAGTGGAAGTTTATCCAGTAATTGGAGCCAGGATGACAATGTGAGTTTAGGCTTTTGTTTATTCATAACATATCCAAACAGAACCACACATGCCAAATAGCATTCATCTTAATTAAGATGTTTGTTCACTATAGCGTTTTCTCTGTGTTTACAGGATGGTTCTGGTAGCTACTTGCGCAGGGGAAGACGCTGTCGTATCCCAGATAAGCCCAACTACTCCCTGAACCTGTGGAGCATCATGAAGAATTGCATTGGAAAGGAGCTCTCTAAGATCCCCATGCCTGTGAGAGAAGCCTCAGAATTTGTGTTATATAGAACTGAGTTATAAGCTATGGGAGATAATGCCCAATTATTATAAATAAAGAAATAGTTCAACCAAAAAAGGAAGATTTGCTGAAAATGTTCCCATCCAAGATGTAGATGAGTTTGTTTCTTCATGGGAATGTTTTTGGTTCCTCTGCACTAAATGGGTGCCTTCAGAATTAGAGTCCAAACAGCTGATTAATACATTACAGTAATCCACACCACTCCAGTCCAAGCTGCATGTTTGTAATGAACAAATCCATCAGGAGATTTTTTACTTCAGACTGTTGCTTCTGGTTAAAATCCTCTATTCATAATACTGCTTTCTCTTGTCTGAATCAGGAGAGAAATATGCACCTATCAAAGCACCATTCACAAGTGAAAACAGTCCAAAACAGTTCTAATATGTGGGTGGATTTTGATGTTAGAGAACAACAGGGGATGGACTTTTTCACTGGAGGAAGCGTTATTATGGATTATGGACTTGTATTGTGGCCAGAAGTTACAGTTTTTATGTTGAAACGGCTTATTGATAGATTCATTTATTAAAAACACATAGCTTTTTGCTTCACAAGGTGTTAATTGATGGACTGGAGTGGTGTGGATTACTTGTGGATTATTGTGATGTTTTTATCAGCTGTTTGGACTCTCATTCTGACGGCACCCATTCACTGCAGAGGATCCACTGATGAACAAGTCATGTAATGCTACATTTCTCCAAATCTGTTCTGATGAAGAAACATACTCACCTACATCTTGGTTGGCCTGAGGGTGAGTCAATTTTCAGCACAGTTTCAGTTTGGGGTGAACCTTCAAATTCTCAAAATCTTCATTATCAGTGTCTTGACATGGATCTGTGTGCATCTGAATCCTTCTGATGAATCACCTACATCTTGGTTGGCCTGAGGGTGAGTCAATTTTCAGCACAGTTTCAGTTTGGGGAGTTTGGGGTGATTCTCAAAATCTTCATTATCAGTGTCTTGACATGGATCTGTGTGCATCTGAATCCTCACTTCCAGGTGAACTTCAACGAGCCGTTATCGATGCTGCAGCGTTTGACAGAAGATCTTGAATACAGCGAGCTCCTGGACCGGGCGGCACACTGTGACTCCTCTCTGGAGCAGATGTGTCTGGTGGCCGCCTTCTCCGTCTCGTCTTATTCAACCACCGTCCACCGCACAGGGAAACCCTTCAACCCCCTGCTGGGAGAGACCTACGAGCTGGACCGTGTGGAGGAGTATGGATACCGCTCCATCTGTGAACAGGTAAAATATACATATATAAAATAATATATATGTAACATATTTTACTTACCTATTTATAGTTAATGCATTAAATGTTGTCAGTGATTGTGTGACACATTGATCAGCTCTTTCTCACCCTCTCTCTCAGATAAGTCATCACCCTCCGGCGGCTGCCCACCATGTGATATCACAGCGAGGCTGGACCCTGTGGCAGGAGATCACCATCGACAGCAAATTTCGTGGCAAATACATCTCTATCATGCCACTAGGTGATTCATCTTGAGCTATGAGTCACCTTTAGAGCACATTCACATCATTACTCACAGACACAGATACGAAATCCGTCAGTCATGGCTCCTTTTAGACCAATAACCAATTTCTAGTGATAAATTAAGTATACATTGATTGACTAGAACAAAGTTTATAATATATAAAGTTTATATATATATATATATATATATATACATATCAACTTGTGGAAAATGGGTATCCTGTGACCCCTTTAAAAATGGCTGAATCTGTACCAGAAAATGAATGATGAATCTGAATGATTGGGCTGGTTTTTGGAACAGGCCTGCCAGGACTTTGTGGATCTAGCGGAGGCACACAGCCGGCGGTGGCAGCGCGCTCTACAGTATGAGAGGGAACAGCGCCACCACCTGGAGGAGACTATCGAGCAGCTAGCCAAACAGCACGACAGTCTGGAGAGAGCCTGGAGAGAATCGCCCAGCACACACAATAGTGAGGCTTTTTCATTGTCTGTGGAGCACAAAATGCGATGTTTTGCAGAATGTCCAAACTGCTATTTTCTCTACACTGAGTGTGAAGAATAAACTGGAGCTGTCATGCCTTAAAAAGGACAAAAAGTACCATAAAAACATGTGAACTCATGTGAACTATATTACAAGAATTATACAATAGTTTTAGTGTACACTACCATTCAAAAGTTTAGGGCCATTGAGTTTTTTTTTAAAGAAAATAATAGTTTTATTTAGCATGCATGCATTAAATTGATCAAAAGTGACAGTAAAGATATTTTAATAATAAACCAAAATTCTATTTCAAATAAATTCTATTTATCAAAGAAACCTGAAAAAAAAAAGGATTATGTTTCCACAAAAATGTTAGACAGTACAACTGTTTTCAACACTGATAATAATCAGAAATGTTTATTGAGCAGCCATTCAGCATATTAAAATGATTTCTGATCATGTGACACTGAAGACTGGAGTAATGATGCTGAACATCACAGGAATAAATTACATTTTAAAAGATAATAAAATAGAAACAATTATTTTAAATCGTAGTAACATTTCACAATATTACTGTCTTTACTGTATTTTTGATCAAATAAATTCAATAAGTTGGTGAGCACAAGAGACTTCCTGAAAACATGAAAAATTCTTACTGACCACAAACTCTTGAACTCTAGTGCTATTGTTTCTTTCCCTTTGTTATTAAAATGTATTAAGTAAAATTAAAATGAAAATGTATGAATTATTTTATTTTGAGAATTATATTAGTTTTACTGGCTTTGCAATGCAAGCACCATAACAAAGTATGTAAATCCATGAAAATTATTTTTTGCTTTCTGTATGTTATTACAGGCTAGGCTTAAAATGTAACACTCAGTTTTATAATGCTGACCCATCATTAAATCCAGACTTTCCATGTGTTGATCTTCAGAAGGTGCAGAGGGAACACTGGAGGGAGAATCCAGTGAAGAGAATGAAGACATAGAGTTTTTTGATGCCATGGAAGATTCTCCTGCCTTCATCACAGTGCCTGCAGACGATCACTCACAACACAGGTTTATATATATAAAGATCATATATGATAAGTGGCTTTTAGTCACAGGCCCAGACATCACTGTCCATTCACTGACCATCTGATATAATATATAATGACAAGAGCTTGATAAAGTAACAAGCTCAAATTGGATTGATTGGCTGTACTCAGCTTAGGTTCTCAGCTTAGTCAGAGTGCCCAGTTTTTACTAGCTCACTTAGGGTGATCTTAGTCTTCACAATTTACACTATTTTTTAGCTATTTCTCTTAATAATAATTAATGTGCTGAGACTGCTGCACAATTATTTGAATAATTTTTAGGTGTCAGTGATTTTGGATGTACCTTCCCTTAAGTGGTGCTTTCATGTAAGTTAGATGGTCTCTTCCTGTATTCTTGGCCAAAATAAGTGGATGCTAAGTGGAATAATGTTATTGTGAATATTGCGCACAACAAATTGTTTTACAGTATCTGTACAGTGTTTATCTACTCTATGCCTGAATAATGAATGATCTTCCCTAGTGTGGCTTGTGAGTACATTACATATTTACAGTAAGAAGCAATTTGATATTTCAGCCCTCACTTGTGTTTCTGTGTGTGTGTGTGTGTGTGTGTGTGTGTGTCTCAGACACTTGAGCAGTAATCAGAACGTGACCAGTGGAAGTTTATCCAGTAATTGGAGCCAGGATGACAATGTGAGTTTGGGCTTTGTTTATTCATAACATATCCAAACAGAACCACACATGCCAAATAATGTTAATCTTAATTAAGATGTTTATTCTCTATACTGTTTTCTCTGTGTTTACAGGACGGTTCTGGTAGCTACTTGCGCAGGGGCAGACGCTGTCGTATCCCAGATAAGCCCAACTACTCCCTGAACCTGTGGAGCATCATGAAGAATTGCATTGGAAAGGAGCTTTCTAAAATCCCCATGCCTGTAAGAGGAGCCTCAGATCTTGTGCTATATAGTACTGAGTTAGGAGCTATGGGAGATAATGCCCAATGATTATAATTAAAGAAATATTTCAACCAAAAAATAAGATTTGCTGAAAATGTACTCATCCTCAGACCATCAAAGATGTAGATGAGCTTGTTCCTTCATCAGAACAGATTTGGAGAAATGTAGCATTACATCACTTGTTCACCAATGGATCCTCTGCAGTGAATGGGTGCCGTCAGAATGAGTCCAAACAGCTGATAAAAACATTAATCCACAAGTAATCCACACCACTCCAGTCATATACATATATCTGACATATATCTGTGTGTGTCTGAATCCTCACTTCCAGGTGAACTTCAACGAGCCGTTATCGATGCTGCAGCGTTTGACAGAAGATCTTGAATACAGCGAGCTCCTGGACCGGGCGGCACACTGTGACTCCTCTCTGGAGCAGATGTGTCTGGTGGCCGCCTTCTCCGTCTCGTCTTATTCAACCACCGTCCACCGCACAGGGAAACCCTTCAACCCCCTGCTGGGAGAGACCTACGAGCTGGACCGTGTGGAGGAGTATGGATACCGCTCCATCTGTGAACAGGTAAAATATACATATATAAAATAATATATATGTAACATATTTTACTTACCTATTTATAGTTAATGCATTAAATGTTGTCAGTGATTGTGTGACACATTGATCAGCTCTTTCTCACCCTCTCTCTCAGATAAGTCATCACCCTCCGGCGGCTGCCCACCATCCATGTGATTAGCGAGGCTGGACCCTGTGGCAGGAGATCACCATCCACAGCAAATTTCGTGGCAAATACATCTCTATCATGCCGCTAGGTGATCCATCATGAGCTATGAGCCACCTTTAGAGCACATTCACATCATTACACACAGACACAGATACAAAATCCATCAGTCATGGCTCCTTTTAGACTAATACCCAATTTCTAGTGATACATTAAGTATACAATGCAGAGATACCTTAAAACATTGATTGACAGAGCAAATTTTATAATATATAAAGTTTTTTTATATTTATTTATATATATAAAAATGTGTAAGTGAATATACAGTGGTGTGAAAAAGTGTTGGCCCCCTTCCTGATTTCTTATTTTTTTGCATGTTTGTCACACTTTACTCTGGAGCAGATGTGTCTGGTGGCCGCCTTCTCTGTTTCATCCTATTCAACCACCGTCCACCGCACAGGGAAACCCTTCAACCCCCTGCTGGGAGAGACCTATGAGCTGGACCGCGTGGAGGAGTACGGATACCGCTCTATCTGTGAACAGGTCCGAAACCACATACTGGTAGTGTGTATGTAATTAACAACAACAACAACAAAAAAAAAGTATATATATATATATATATATATATATATATATATATTTTTTTTTTTTTTTTTAAATCAGGAAGGGGGCCAACACTTTTTCACACCACTGTACACACACACACACACACACACACATATGTAATATACATTATATAAATAGTAATCTCATGATTTCTGACCAACGTGTATATATATATATATACATATATATATATATATAATATTCACAGATACACACAAAATAAAAAAAAAATAAAAAAATATTTAAATTACAAAAAAAATATAACCCCATTTTGAAAACTCATCGGCTAGCATTAAAAACAACACTGGTTACCTAGATTCATTTTGCTCAAATGCAGAGTGTCTGAATAAATGTGCCGCTTCCAGGTAAACGTTACTTCAAAGGAAATTTCATTTGAGAAATGGTTTCTATTTTTATAGAGCCTTTTATACTGATGTGCATTGCAGGTCTCCCTGCAGCTTTGAGATATTTTTAGAGTGAATCAGCTTTGTTCTCTTTTATTTCCATGTACATGTTTCTCTTTCTCCTGCCGTTATTTGCTCATAGTGCCTCTCTTTGCTCTCTGCAGGCAACATTCACCTGAAGTTCCACGCCAGTGGGAATCATTATGTGTGGAGCAAGGTGACCTCCACTGTGCACAATATAATTGTGGGCAAACTATGGCTAGATCAAGTATGTGTGCGGTTTCATACTCCTTTCTCTTGTTTTTCTTTGTTATGTGTTTATATTACAGATAACATTCCATATTGCACGTCCTTCTATATGTATGACACAATAGTAGAATTTTTAAAGAATATCCTGGAATATCCTTTTTTCTATTTAATGAAAGAAAATAGGGACATATAAATATAAATAAACTCCAAAATGACAAAACAAAACAAAGGTATCTTAAAAGTGATAAAAAAGGCTCATGCTCTGTAAACCAGTTATTTTATTATTTTTATATTTATTAATATTTTGAATTAGCTTTTATTTTATATTTTACTTTTCATTTTAATTTCAGTTTCAGTCATTTTCTTATGTGTTTTGTCTTTTTTTATATTTCTATTTAGCTTTGCTATTTTTATTTCAGTTTTAATTTTAGTTTTAGTACTTCAGCTTAAAATTATTTTATTTCAGTTAGTTGCCAGTGCAACATTTCTATTTTTCATTTAAGTTTTTATTTATTTATTTATTTCAGCTTTATTTCAATTAATAATAAAATAAAAAAATTAACTGTTTAGTTTTAGTGCTAGGCCTATATTCCAAGTCTTTTGAAGCTGTATGATACATTTTTTTTGAGAAACTTGAACTGAAATTGATATTATTCTTTATTGTGGTACTCAAATACAACCATTTGATGTGTTACATCAGATTTGACCGAAGGAAAAAAAAGTCATAGGGGTTTGCAGCAACATGAGGCTGATGAAATGATGACAGAATTTTCATTTTTGAGTAAATTGTATGGTTCGAGTCCTCCCACGTGGTGAGGCATTACTCATCTTCAGCACTCCATCTGTTAGAGAAAAGTCACCACTGACACTGCTCTTCTCCATCTGTCTTCCGCTCCTGTCTTTCCCACTGCAGAGGAAACAGGAAACAATTATTACAGCTCTGGACTGAGTCAGTGGGGAATGCAGTTAAAATTAATTGACCATCAAGGCATGAAATCGAAATAGATCATATTAACCTCCTCAATAAATGTTCAATTCATGGTACTTAACTCTAATCCAAACACCTGCTCTTCATCACTTCAGCTCTGTCATTGTTATTAACGTATGACTCTTTGTCCTGATGTAGTCTGGGGACATTATAATCATGAACCACAGGAACAAGGACAAATGCCACCTCAAATTCTCCCCATACAGCTATTTTTCCAGGGATGTTCCCCGCAAGGTCAGTCTGTGTATCATCACCTTCATTCAGTCAGATGGTTTTCCAGCATGTGAAATGTGAGGCTGTGTGCTGCTGACCTCTGCTGGGTATTGAGTGTAACTGCAGGAGTGTGTTTGCGTGTATGTCCTCCTGTCCACAGGTAACAGGCGTTGTGATGGACGGCGAAGGCTGTGGCCACTACATTCTCTCTGGAACGTGGGATGGTAAAATGGAAAGTGCAAAGATCATAGAGAGCAGCCACGGCTCTGGAGGATCTGAGGGCAAACAGAAAACTGTCTATCAGACTCTACCACCAAAACTACTGTGGAAGAAATACCCTCTGCCGTAAGAGTCTTCTATCTATCTATCTATCTATCTATCTGTCTGTCTGTCTGTCTGTTGTTTATCTATCTGTCTGTCTGTCTCTCTGTCTATCTATCTATCTATCTGTCTGTCTGTCATCTTTCTATCTGTCTGTCTGTCTGTCTCTCTTTTTTATCTGTCTGTCTGTCTGGCTGGCTGGCTGGCTCTCTGTCTATCATCTGTTTATCTATCTGTCTGTCTTTATTTATTTTCTTTATTTATAATACTTAAATACAAGGCTCAAAATTGCGACCATATTGTTTACATATGCTCCCAAAATTTAATCTGTTCAACCTCAAAATATATTTGGGAAAATGTGTGCTATGAAATTGGCTCAGTGCACTGCATTTACTATATATCAATTGTTGTTGTGGTGCTCATTTTTTTGCTGGTGCTCCTAACTTTCTGAAGTTTGGAGCACCAGTGCTACCTAGTAAATAATTTAGATTTGAGCCGATATATTTCTCTTTTAATTTTTTTTCTAGTAAATTTCTACTCTCTCTTTTTTTCTTCTGTAATTCCAGTGAGAATGCAGAGAACATGCATTACTTCTCTTCTTTGGCTTTGACTCTGAATGAGCCGGAGGATGGCGTTGCCCCTACTGACAGCCGCCTACGGCCCGACCAACGGCTGATGGAGGCGGGCTTGTGGGACGAAGCGAACGCTGAGAAACAGTGTCTGGAGGAGCGTCAGAGACTGGAGAGGAGGAAGAGAGAGGCGCAGGCCAATCTTGCTCTAGAAGAGGGTAAGACACAGCCTCACACACTCATTGTTTCATATACCTAGTAGGCAGCATACAGTAGGAAAGTAGGAGAGTATCTCACTGCAGATGTTTTGTCCTGGATTTGACAGGTAAGGAGGCCGAGAGCCACCAGCCCTTGTGGTTTGAGAAAAGGACTGATACAGAGACAGGTGAGAGCAGCTACGTGTATAAAGGAGGCTACTGGGAAGCCAAAGACAGACAGGACTGGAGTCAGTGCCCTGCCATCTTTTGAAGGCTCTCTTCCATACCAGGACCAGCTTGCCATTCCAAATCATCCTGTATTAGGAAAGCAGCTTACCAATGTTTCCCAGATGTGGAATATGCAGATTCCAAGGCACCCATATGTGTATATATATGTATCTTAATTTGATGTGCATTCATGGAGGCATTGAGACACCTGTATTGTAGCAGGGAAAATTCACATTGCATGGAAAACCGCTCTAAGCACAATAGATGGAGGCACTTTATAAATGTGACAGTGACAGACAATGACCTGGGGAATGTAACAACACTTCACCAGGGAAAAGATTCTTCCGCAAAGCTGATTTATACCCTGGTTTTTAACTGTTTCAGGTCAACTGTATGATATCCATGAATTATCCACTATTGTGTGATTCAGAGCACATGCTACTTTTGAAGTATGAAGACCGAATGCCCTCAAGACTGTGTTCCTGCATTGAGCTGTAGTGTAGATGAGGTGTTGTGTAGTTTCAATAGTGCAAACATGCTCCATAAACAACCTAGATAGAATCCAGATCAGTGAATAGATGTTGCTTCTACAAAATAACACTTATCAAGGCTTAGATATTTAATGTGAGAATTCATTTTTAGCTGCCCGTTTAGTTATTTAGCACAAGCGTAATGTAAATGTCATTGTGTAGGTGATGAATTACGGCTCAATAAAAATTCTCCATATAGAGTCCTGGCTAAATGTTTGCAAACATGCTAAAAAAAATCAAGCATTTATTTATTTAAATAGATGAATTAATAATACTTGCACGTTGTTCCATTATATGACTCATCTGCATGCAGTGCAGATTTTTTTGAAATAATTATGCAAATTAGGCATGCACTTTAACAGATATGCTCATATATTTGTTTAACACTCACAGGAAGGTACAGTATCAGTTCACATTTTAGGGTGTTTTGCAAACCTTTGGCCTTGACTATTATCAACAATTAGCATTTTGTGGTGGCAATAATTTCTAGTTTCCGGTATTAGCTGCTAAAGCATATTTACACTACATACTTCATTCATGCTGCAAGGAACAGTGGTCTAGAATACTGACCGTAAACGGTAACCATAATGAGGATGAAGCCAAACTTGTATTTGGGCATTAAAACATTCAGAATATTAGCAGACCACTGGTATGAGAGTATACCATGTCAGAACTAAATACATTGTGGACAGTGAAGAGGACTGACTGATATTTATCATCTGTGTTTGAGTTTTTCAACCAAAAGCAAGTTGTTTTCAGAGATCTTGAGATCAGAGCCACAAAATGACACTTTCCGATATACACAGTGTTAACCAGACATATTGATAACCTTAAAAAGCTGATTATTATAACTAGGTAAATTGTATAATTATGATGCCGATATGGCATCACTGGAAGTTTCAGTGTTTCAAGATGTTGCATTCCAGGGACTCTACATTTTTCAAAAGATAATGATGTGAATTTGTAGTCTTGGTTGTTAAAATAATCTGAATGTATCATATGTAAAAGAAGGATATTAACAATAATTATATGTGCAATATTTCAAGGGTTATCAATGGTTGGTTGAGGTCTGTTGGTTTGTTTTGTAGCATTTCAGTTCTTATCATGGCCAACATACTTGTCTTGGAATGACGGGATCATAATTTCTCACTTAAAGCAACTCTATGCAGTTTTTTTTACCTTGAAATATCAGTTTCAAAATAATTCGGAGTCAACTTTCAATAGTTCTAATAAGGCAAATGGCTTCTGTTTCTTTCCCTTGAGTATGTCATTTTGGTGCGAAAATTTCGGCAAAAAGCTTTAGGGCACCAACAACTGTGTGTGTACAGCTATACAATGTATATTTACAATGGTGAATTCCACTCACTTGACTGTAGGGGGCGCCAAAATCGCAAAAATACACAAAATATTTGTTATTTTTACCTTTATTATGATATGACAATGGAGAGCAGGGAAGTAGGAAAGAGAGGGGGACAGGGTTGAGAAGGTCCTTGAGGCAGGATTCGAACTCGGGACGCTCTTAACGCAACAGCGTTATATGTCGGCACACTTGCCTACTAGGCTATTGTCGCCGACAAATACACAAAACTGCATAGAGTTGCTTTGAGCTACATGGTAAAATACAACACAGTATTGTTTTAATCTTCTAGGAGCAATGTAGTCTCCTGGCAACAAAAATATGCTGAAATCGACTGGGTGAATATGAAAGTGAATTATTTATTCATTTATTTTTACATTATCTCAATGTTTTGTATTTATATTTTGAACCAGATACATTTAAGCTGTAGTTGCACTCAAATATTTTTTCATTTAAGATTGATAAAATGTCTCAATGTTTTGTTCCACATCGATACTATAAAATAAATGTGACAATATTCTCAGTTAATCCTCTTTATAGTCACAGTACTGTTGCACACTGAAACACTCCCACTAATGGAAGATCGTGATCCACTGGTTCAGAAAGGCAGACTTTATCACAGGCATTTAAATGAATACTTCACTCCAAAATGAAAATTTGCTGAAAATGTACTCACACTCAGGCAGCGGTGGATAAAGTAGCCTACCTGAAAGCCACACTTGAGTAAAAGTACAGATATCTTACCAGAAAATGACTTTGGTAGAAGTTGAAGTCACCGTTTAGAATATTACTTGAGTAAAAGTCTTAATGTATGTGATATTTATTTTTTCAATATTAAACGTACTTAAGTATTGAAAGTAAAAGCTAAGCATAAGAGGCACTTCATCCGGTACTTAGCCTCTTTCAATCCAACATAAGAAAACATTTCTGGAATCTGCATCTGAAATGGCATTTAGATGTATTTACACAGTTTAATGTAGCTCAGAGGGGCCATG